TTCAAACTTTCAATACTACCTTTACATCATTACTTTCAACACTAACACTTTCAAACTTTCAACACCAACACTTTCAATATTACCACCTTTAACATCACCACTTTTAACACCACCTTCAACATTACCACCTTCAATATTATTACTTTTAATACTAATACTTTCAATATTACTACCTTTAATACCGTCTTTAGCATTATTACTTTTAACACTAACACTTTCAATATTACTACCTTTAACATTACTACTTTTAACACTACTTTCAACATTACCACCTTTAATATTATTACTTTCAACACTAATACTTTCAATATTACTACCTTCAACACCGTCTTCAGCATCATTACTTTCAATACTAACACTTTCAATATTACCACTTTCAACATCACTACTTTTAATACCACCTTTAATATCACCACCTTTAATATTATTATATTCAATACTAATACTTTCAATATTACTACCTTTAAGCTTTCAATATCACCTTTAATATTATTACTTTCAATACTATATCTAATACTATTACCTTTATTATTATTATTATTATTATTATTATACTGCTATATTAACGTTAAGCTCAGCTATATAAATTCACCTCCTATAAATTTTATTACTAATCTTAGGTAACGACTAATTATAATAATTCTATAATTTAAGTAGTGGTAAATTATACTCTTACCTATAGGATTAGTCCGGATTAACTTCTATTTTTAGAAAACTTCGATTCCGTTAGCCCGACCCTCGATTCTTTAGACCGACTTCGATTCCCTAAATCCGGATTCTAATAAATAAACAAAAAAAGAATTCATATACTAGTTCGAATACCCTCTTAATAAATAAAATAATTTTAATATAAATTGTAACCCCGACTGTAAAATAATATTAATTATAGCTATTATATATTAACCGCGGAGGTAACCGAATTAGGAAGACTATTTAGGGAGAACCTACTTATAAAAGTCCTATAGTATAATAAGGTAAAGAAATTAAAGTATAAGTAACTTTCAGACTATCCCTCGGAGTAAATTTAAAAGACTCGTTCTCTAAAAATTTAGGGTAGGGTTCGCGCTATAAGTCCTAAGTTCTTTTTTACTAAATTTTTATCCAAATTTCACTTTTTATTTAATCTTAATTAGGATTCAACTTAACGTTTATAGTAGACAGCTAAATGTCCGTGTTTATAATTGAAATATAATTTAAAATTAAGGTAGACCGCCAAAATTTGAGTATTATAATTGAAATTTAACTTAGCGTTTATAATAGACCGCCAAGTCTTCGTTTTTATAAAATTAAAATTCAACTTGGCGTTTATAGTAGACCGCCAAGTCTTCGTTTTTATAATTGAGATATAACTTAGAGTTAAGGTAGACCGCCAAAATTTGAGTATTATAATTAAGATTTAACTTGGCGTTTATAGTAGACTGCCAAAATTTGAGTTTTATATGATTGAGATACTACCCTAGACCTATATAACAGCTACGCTTTAGTCCAATTCTGCCGGCGCCCTAGAAGACGATGTTAAGATTCAAGTACTGAGTAATAAGGATATTTTCAGTACCGAAGTTAGAACTTTAAATATTAATAATTTTTTAGATTAAATGTAATTTTTATTCTAATTTAGAATATTTTATTTTTGTAATAATAATAATACTTTTATTTACTTAGTATATTAAATAAATAATTTTGTTGATTTTATTAATTTAAATAATATAGTTCTATATATTAGAATTAATAACGAAGATTGTGAGGATATTATCGAAGCTATTATCAACTAATTCGATAGGGCTTCGATTCTAGATGAATTTAGAAAAGACGATACTTTTACAGGAAGCGGACTTAGTAGTACGATATTGGTAGCCCTATGTATCGTTCCCGTTATTACGGGTCCTTCCGTTACTTTTAATTAGATTTTTTTTTACTGATAATAATGTTAATACTAATTTAAAATTAGACAGAAAGGAGTTTTATAAGGCTTGATATCGTTTCTAGTAGTTTATAATCGACGTTATAAGTGTTTATAATATTATCGAAATTTATTTTATTACAAAAATTTCTTTTTATTATTTCTTTAAAAGCTTAGAAAAATAAATAATGTCGGTATATTAGAATTATTCTTATAATTTTCGGTAAGTCCGCCGAAAACCTATTAGAGGGGGAGATAATTATTATTGGTTTTTTTACTAAAATTAAAGCGGAATTCTTAAATAAAGGGATTGGCGCCTTATAGAGAATTTAATAGGAGTAGGATAATTTGAGATTAGTTGATTTCAATAATATTCGAACATTTAGTTAAAATATTTCTTCCCTATAGGAAGAATATAATATTATTAGTTAGGAATATTAATTCCCCGAAAACTAATTAAATTTTTTTATTTCTTAAAAATATATTAAAGGTTTTCAAATTGTCTAGTTGTAAAATAAAACTCTAGAAATTAATTACGCAAATCCTCTACGATATTACAATTCTATATTGTAGGGTAATAAAAGTACTAAGTAATATAGGTCTTATATTCAATTTTAAACGCTACGTATATTTGTACATTCTAATTAGGGGGATAGTTGTAATTCTTATACCTATTTCGGACTTCGAAAGTCTACCTCTTATCGTTAGTTGCCAATGCCCTAGCGAGCTCTTTCTAAGGGTAACCTCTTTTAGCGGTTAACGTTAATCGATTATATGTATTTAATTTGCAGACTAGACTAGTAGTACATTCAAAATTAGTTATAATAGGACTAAATTCTATAGAAATAATATTACTAATTTCCGTTTTAATAATTTAATAACCCTACTTTCTGGCCTAATCTTTTACCGCCTTAATAATTTTATTGAGAGAATTATATTAAGTCGTAAATACCATATAGAGGGGAGGAGGGCTCTTATTAGGATCGCTATCGTAAGGGTTACTATCGTAAGGGTCGTCGATAACTATAGGTTGGGTAGAAGTAGGTTCGATTAGAGTAGGGTCGGTTATTAAATTAGGATTATTTACACTATAGTCGTACGCAGGCTAGGTTTCTATATTAGCTATTTATATTATAGTTAGCTAGGGAAATGCATTAAAAGATAATATATTATTCCGTACTATTGACTAAATGCGAACGCTTCGTTTATTTAGCGATGCAACGTATTGGTATTGAGGTAGATTAATTGAATGTAATAAGAGTGATAATATGTAGTTTGGTAGAGGAAGCGATGCAACAAAGTATATACTTAGAAAATCGCTAAGTTAAATTGGGGTGGCTAGTACAATACGAGAGTGGCCTGTACGAGCCTTAAATGCGTGTAATGGCTTGAAATCTGGGAGCTTGGCGGGCGCGGTACGTGCTAGACTAGTGCGGGGCGGGCGCGAGTTAGTAGGGTTAGGGATATATATAGGGAAAAAAGTAGGTTACGATATAAATAGAGAAACATAGCCGTACAGATAGAGTTTCTCAAATTATAATATATAGAAATGGGGAATTAATTAGTATTATAGGGGATATTATACTATTATATAAGATATGACGAATAATTAAAGTAAGTTAATTAAAAGTATTAAAAGAAAGAAAGCTAGAATATTAAAGGAAATTGGTTAAAAGTAAGCAAATTATTAAAAGCAATATCGTTTGAGGGTAGTCGGTTATATATAAACGAAATTAATTTTTTATAACCAATTGTCGAATATTTATAAATTAGTTAATTCGAAAATACAATAGATTAATTTAGCTAATTCGAAAATACAACGGTTTAATTATATAGAATTTATAAATAGGATTATAAAAAAGGTATATTCGATTAGGGAGAAACGATAACGTTTATAAGAAAGCGAAGTCAGGTTTGTAAATATTAATAAATAATAGGAATTTTAGAAAAAGATTTATAAATTAAATTAAGGAGTTAGCCCCCTAGGACCCCCTATAGAAAGGGTTAGGGTAATAACGAATTAGGGGGCTAGCCCCCCGGGACCCCCTGTATAATATTAGGATTAGAGTAATAATACCCGAGGGCTAGCCTCCTAGGACCTTCCGTTCCCGGGGGAAACCCCCGGACCCCTACGGTGTATATAGACTCCAAAATTCTAACCAATCCAAATTACGGATTGCCCATTCTACGAACCAATCATAGCACGAAGAATTTACAAGGGTATTTAACAAGAGTCTGCTCCTATTAGAAAGAAGCTCCGCTATATACTCGCTCACTTCGTATTAAAATACTTCTTTCCCTAGACTATATAATAGCTGCGGTTTAACTAACTATCCTTACCTCAAAATCTTCTAATACTAATAATAACGTTCCTACCGCCTCGAACGTACTATCGCTCTCAATATCTACAAATTTCCATAAATTACTATACCTTAATAAACATTCAATAATTTTAATTAACTATAAGAATTCGTTTTATTTTGTAATACATATAGTAATCGGGGGTTAAAAATATCTATAGTAATAATTACGTCGGCTACTATTCTTACCCGCTTCGAAACCGTTATTCATATTTATATTTAATATTAAATAAAACGAAATTAGCAATCTAATCTTTAAAGTAAAAAAATAAATACACGATTTTTAATATATTTTCCCGTTTCCTTTATATTGTTTTGAATATTTTAAATACAAGGGAAACGGGATAAATATATATTATTCCAACCGGGTAGAATATAGGACTAAAATTAAATTATTATTTATTCGAATAAACAAATTTACTAATACACTAAACTAAATACAATTTAGTAGCTTCCAACCCGTAGTATCAGTACAACTACCGCTCAACGGGAGCCGGGCTCATAACCTATCAAAATGTATGTAAAAAAGTGGGAGAAAAGCCATATCATTCAATGAGAGTAAGCTAGATCTATACGATATAACTGCCGCCTTTTATACCCGCTTGCCTTATCTACCTCTAAGCACCCTTATCTACCCATATATCGATACATGTAAGGCTCTGCTCACAAGGCTGATGAGGCTCAACACCATGAGGATCCATGATGTTTGGCAGCTGGCACAAGCAGAATGAACAGAACAAGCTTCTTCAAATTACTGACGCCACTACTGACGATGACGCCGAAGACCAAACCAGCGTATCTCATATGTCATTACATGAAAAGAACAAGACCGTGTGAAAGCAATAACTCCATTCCATGCAAAGCTCTCAGACCCAGAGGTATCCCCGACCAACGCCATGCGCCATGCCATGCATAATATCAACACTTGGGTATCATGCTCATCTCTTTCCTTCTCTCCGCGAGTCCCCTCAACCCCAACCCGTAGGTCGTACAGCTGAGCCAGGGCATCTTAAGCTCGCATCTCTCCTCAAGCTCCAACTCACCAGATCATACCAAACCGCAAACACCTTCCACCAGAATGAAAGCCCTTCAGCCCCATGCTTCGGCATGGTTACTGAGAGACTCAGCGGGAGTCTTCCACAAAATCCAGCCACGATCAAGACCAGACCAGACCTCTTCCCTCCAGTCCTCCTCCCTCAAATCCAGCCCGGAGCGCCCCTATTAACCGGATCAACCACAATCTCCGCCCTGTCCCTAGCCTTGCCCTTGCCTTTCTCCTCCTTGCTTGGCTTCTTCTCCTCCTTCGAGCCGGCGGCACCAAGCAACAAACCCTTCCATCCCTGCTTCGTCTCCTTCCACTTATCAGCCAGCTTCTCGCCGACTTGCGCAACTTGCTGGCCCAGCCGACTAGTCAGGCCCTCCTCGCTCCCGTCCGAGGTAGGGGTGCTGGGCGACCAGCGGCTTTGCGAGGGGGGTTCGACGTAGGTGGACATCTGGCTGGGGCCGCCTCTGTCCTCCGGGTGGGGAGTCGTGGTTGATGACGAGGGGCCGGGATTGCCAGCGGTGGCGGCGGCAGGGGCAGCTTGAGCTTGGCCCGGAGCAGGAGAAGCAAAAAGGGGAGCAGGCCAGACGGTGTTGCCGCTGCCGTTGTTGACAACCTCGTACGAATCCTCAGAGAACTTGGACGCCACATCCTCCCGCGACGGCTTGGAGTAAACAGACGAGCTCACGTTGCGGAGCGGGCGAGCAGGGGCCGGCGGAGCAAGGAGCGGGTACGAAGCTGGTACCGGCGACACCGGCGAGGGCACCGGCACCAGCACCCGCCCCTGATGCGGGGCAGGAGCAGGAGCAGGCGCAGGAGCGACGCAAACAGTCCTCAACCTCGGGCCCCTATCCCCCTCAGCGGCCGGCACGACTTCGATGAGCATCTGGCCCGGGACTCTTTCATCTCCTGCCCCTGCCGTCTCGTCCTGTTCACCCCTGGTTTGCTTGGACTTCCCGAGAGACGCGAGCGGTATGTTCTCGAGGCGGTAAAAACGTCCGTCGCTGCCGCGGACGGTGCTGCTGCGGCCGTTGGCAGTGATGGTGGTGGGCGTGGAGTAGAAATTTGCCTGGCGTTCAATGCGGCGGCGGCGGAAGAGACAGAAGGCCAGAAGACCGATCAGCAAGAGACCAAAGATTGTAGCGCCAACTGCGCCGCCGATGGCTGCTGCCTTTGAGCCGCCGGTGCCGGTCTTAGAAGCCGCGGAGCCAGTTGTCTCCTCGGGCGTGGGAGAGGCAGCGGAGGTGGTGGTGACGAGGGTTGTCGGCACCGGCGAAGAGGAGTGAGCGACAGAGCCGCCCGGGTGGAAAGTGATGGTCTCTGTCTCGAAGGTGACAAAGACGCTGGTGCTGGTGACGGGGGCGCGTGTCTTGTGGGTGGTTGCTGAGGAGGTGGTGAGCGCGGCGCGAGGGGTGATGAGGTTTTTGGGCTGGTCACTGCCAGAACCCATGGTTGAAGCTGTGGCGCGATCCACGACGACGCGAGAGGTAGGGAGGGAGGTGTCGCTGTTGTCCTCCATTGTTGTTGATTGCCTTCTTGATTGAAGTCAAGGTGAGGTAGTTGTTCTTTTTGCGAGGGGCTCCCACTAGAGAAGTAAGGCAGCCAAAGACGAGGCTGCAGAACGTTTGGCTTGCCGTTGGAAGAGAGCGATTGCTCGCGAAGTAAGTCAAGCTTCAGTAGAAGCAGTGAATGAGCTGTGTGAAAGGGAAGCTTTTTGTCGTGGTGATCTCCTTATGATCGCAAACGCAAGGGAAAAAAAGGTGGGGGGAGGAAAGGAAGCAGGCGAGCAAAACTGGCTCAGAAATACTGCCCTCAAAGATACCAAGCTCTGCCGTCAACCAAGGGGAATTTTGACTAAATGACACACGTATTGTGCGGAACGGCCAATTCACCGCCCGCAAAAGTTTCTTCGTTGACAATATATCGGATGATTGCGATTGCGGACGCGAGTGTCCAGTCCGAGTCACGTCCGCAGGCCGGGACAATCTGCCCTCGTCTCATCTTTGAGGGCAGGCTGCCGCCGTATCAATCACCCCCCTCCTGCGGCCTCGCTCATACGTGGACTAACGTATACCCTCATACACTTGTAGCCTTCGAGCCGTGTATAACAGTCCAGATAGGAAGGAGCAGAAACGGAAAGCAATGACCATAACTCCACCCGTGCGGCCAAGTGAAAAGACGAACAGGACAATCTGAAGGGCAGTACCAGAAAAGATTAAATAACAATCTGTCGGTGCTAAAGCTTTTAAGTAGATGTACCTTGTAATTTACGCAAGAAATAGGAAATAAAACCCCAAAGATCCAATCATACCCAACAAACGGAGGCATCCCGATGGAGCGTTCCCGAATGGTATCGACCGTTCCATCATCAGAGATGCGCATCTGCATTACAAGCTATAAGAGATAGGCAAATTTGACTTTATCGCTACTACCAAAACAGCCAATGCCTTGGGAATCTCTTGGAAGCTTCCAAACGATATCAGCAAGGACATGGCCCACATCAGCGAATCTCTGCTGCTTGACCAGCACGACCACACCGAGGAGTCCGTGTTCCGTCCAGACAAGCGCACCCTCATTCGTCCTAGGGACTTTGCCGACGGCGGCAAATTTCGCTGTAAGTGACCTCAGATCCAAGCTTAATCCCTCCTCTCGACGTATCACTGCTAATACCCCTGACAGCTATCGTGAAGATCAGCATGCGATATGAGGGAGAGGCCGTCCGCTGCGCATCTCTGATGATGGAACCGTCAACACCATTCAGGAACGCTCCCGTGTATGGATCGGAATGCCTCCGTTTGGGCCTAGCGAAATATTGGCCTTCTCGGCCGGATGCTTTTGTGTTCGATATGATGATCGGTAGATAATGGCGCGATGAGAGCTAGACGGGGGAAGGTGTCGAGGTTTTGGTAGGAGGAAGATACGTTAGGGATGAGGTCGGCGTTGTAGACGGCTAGGCTGGAGAGGACGGAATTATTAGACTGGTACTCTTCGGAGAGACGCTTGCTAGGTGCCGGTGGGCGAGCTGAGCGAAGCGAGAAAAGCGTGTGAGGATAGGGAGATCGTCGACGTCGAGATGGGAGATTTTGGAGTGGGTGAAGGTTTGAGCGAGCTGAGCGAAGTGAGAAAAGCGTGTGAGGGTGGGGAGATCGTCGACGTCGAGATGGGAGATCTTGGATATGTTTGCATTTCCGTGCAACGACCGAGACCTTTGCGATAAACACAGTGCCCGGCAGTGACAAAGGTATCGGGAGCAATGAGGTATCCGGTGCCGCACCTGGAGGAAAGATGCAATTAGCGATAGCCCGCTCGTCAGCAACACAGGGGAAGGGATCTCGGATCCAAAAGGGCGCATCTGGGTTGCTCTCTTCGTCATCACTCGGAGCCTCGGCATCTCGGATCCACAAGGGCGCATCTGGGTCCTGGGAATGGGTGCTCCAAAGACCCCCTTTTCTTTCCCATAAGCCAAACAACAGGAAACACACCCAAAGACTGCAGCGACCAGACCATCGCTGATGCTCAATGGGAAGAGCTTGGGCCAAGGCAGCAGAAGCGAGCTCGTAACGCTATTTCAGCCGAACCGTGGAGCCATGAGCCTATGACGGGCCGGGAACAATCTCTGCTCTCGTCCCATCTCCTAGGTCGTCAGGTCAACTCAACTCAGCTCTTTGCCCCGACCTCGGTCGTAGCTGACGTATATGCGAGTTCTTGGCCTTCGCGACGCGACGCTTCTCAGACCGCTGCTGCTTCTCAGCCTGCTCCTGCTCAATCTCTTTGTTGACGACCTCATTGTGCCGCTCCAACATGGTCCAGAAGCTGGACTCAACCGTCTCACCCGCCACCCACCGCACCTTGGCCATGTCGGCCTCGAGGGCTGACACCTGATCCTGGAGCTCCTGCAGCAAGGTGGCGTCGCCAGGCACGACGGAGGCCGTCATCGGCGGGCGGGCAACGGGGAGAGCGGGGGCGACAAAATAACAAATTCCCAAAGATCCAGGTTCTTCAAACCCTTTTTGACAACGGCAGTCCGGATGTGTAGTATGGGATAAAAAGGAGCTGTCGAACATTTCAGCACGGAGTACGCGAAGCAACAGAGACGGCAGCGTAGAAAGAAGAAGGGAGGGGAGCAGACGTCAATTCTAAGTTTTTCTACTTCTTCTGGATCTTGCGCTTACGGCCATCGCCGGTCTCCACCGCCTCCAACCTCTTGTCAAAAGACTCGAGGCGAGCGACGAGCTCCGCCACGGTAGGCTGCCCAGCGGGGAGGGCGGGGTCGGAGGAGCCGCCGGGGTGATGGGAGCCGCCGGGGTTGGGGGAGGGGTACCGGGGGCGTCGGGGGCCGAGAGTAGGTGGGTATACTCCTGTTTGGAGTCTTGGTTAGCTGGGATTTATTTTATAAACGGATAGGATAAGAAAGATTTACGCGGAGATGGCGCCATCCTTGTATATCTCAGCGGCGCTGCGCTGAATCGTTATGGCTCTACGTACGTACTCGTACGCCTTCTTCTTCTCTTTACCGGAGGTCGCCGCCTCCTAAACTTGGGCGAGCCTCTGGGTAAGAAAGGAGGCGCGGTCACACCGCTTGCCATCGTTATGGCAGTCCATGCAGGCCCGGTTGCCCGGTTTGGTGTAGCAATCGCGAGGCTCGTTGAGGCACGCGATGCATGGGACCTCGGAGAGGTCACAGTCCTCCTAAGAAATGAACAAGGTCAGAGACGATTTCTCGAGGCAGGAGTGACAGAGAGGACTTACCAGCAGATGCTCCTTCTTGATGAGCCTGGACTTCTTGGGGGTGACAGCTTTGTCTGCATGGTCCTGCCCATCCTTCCCGCCCTTTTGCGCCTTGACTCTGTTCCTCCAACGGCCACCTGTGTACTTCACTGTTTGCCTGATATATACCCCAATCTCGAAATCGAGAAACATATCACCGTCGTCTACTATTCTAACTAATTTGCACAGATGAACGACATGTGTATAGCCTTACAGCTGTTGAACTGTATCCGCACATCCACAGCATAGGTAGGTAATTGACTGGCCCTGGCTACCTATGTATTCGTTGTCCCTGGGATGCTAGTTACCTAATTTCTTGTCGCAAATCCGCCCTGACTTGGAGTACCGTTGGCGATTGGTCTCCCTCCTGAAAGACTCCCGGGTGTCGGTTATGGGAGTGCTTTGCGGTATACAGACAAGGGGCCCTACCTAAGCTCAAACTCAAGGCTGAAAAGCGAGCCCGTTAAATCCTTTGTAGAGGTATTCTCTGTGTGAATCCACGGTGCCCACACCAAAGCCGCAGCAAAACACCAAGTGGCACGGGGCCATGATACTTCCTCCGGTACCGTCCTTGCCGTCTAGACCGCTTAGATTCCAATTAGGAAAACATCAGATTTCGAAGGAGTCAATCGGGCACTGATACCACTTTCAAGTCTCAAGTGGATGGTTTTCCGTCGAGCGTTGAACTCACTCCCCCGTCAAATCCATCATCTCAACATCCCTATCCCCCACTCTCACCGTCGTCGACCTAGCCCTCGGCGTTCTCCCCCCACGCCCATTCCCATTCTCATCATTACCCTTCGTAAGATCAATAGGCTGTCCCCTACTTCCCGGCCTCGACCCGTAGTCGTACCCCCGTTGTTGTCCCTGTCCCTGTCCTTGACCCTGCATCATAGCCCTGGGCACATACCCCGGATGTCCAGATCCGTACAATCCCCCGTGATGCTGACCGTGATGGCTCTGCTGCGGCATAGCCTTCAACGGTCTATTCGATGACCAAGAAGACGACGAGAATGTCGAATTATTAAAATACTCGGCGTCAGTTGGCGGTAGGCCGTCTGTGCGCATGTTCGGGTCGGTGGGCGTGCCGATGTTGAACCCTTCCAAGCTACCGGCTAGAGATCCGATGGAGGAGTGACGCGAGTGTCGACCGAGTCGCATGGGAGGGGCGGGAAGTCCATCGGGGAATCCTCCTGGGGGTGTCATTGGGGAGGGTGACGAGTAGCGGCTGCCAGAGGAGAAGGAGGATGTGGCCAGGTGAAGAGAAAGATCCCCCTGATATGGGAGGCCGTCGTATTCAATTTTGGGACGGAAGTCGTAGAAGCCGAGACCTTCGAGGCTGGGGTCGAGGCCGAAGCCTTGGGATTGGAGTTGGGCGGTCATGTGCATGTTGAAGGCTGGGGAAGGAGTTGGTGGGCGGCCGTCGGGGAGCAGGTCTTGAGTGGTGGCTGGGTCGTAGTGGCTGCTTCTTGGTCGGCTGGGGGGTCTCTCGTCTGAGAGATCCGAGTCTGGAGCTCGTTTCAGGCCCTGTGCTTGGATACCTCTGTTCAAAGCCTCCCGTTGGTAAACGGTCACCAGGTCTTTCCTCTTTGCATCGCCCAAGTCGTTACGCCCCGGAGAAATGGAGCTAGATGGAAGTCTTTGGTGTAATACCTGCCGTACTTCCTGTAATACAGACTCTTTCGTTGGGAGACCCGCCGCCTGGCGTCTTCGGTCATCGGCCTTGATGCGCTCAGCCTCATTCCTATTCTCACTCTTTCGCTTGGCTTCTGCCTCGGCGATAAGCTGAGCTGTGGATTCATGGCGCTGGCGTACAGCAATCAGCTCTGGGGTGAGGTTGAGCCCGTCCTGTGGCCGCGTATCGGCTTTCTGGCTAAGGAGGAATTTGACCATGTCGTTGTTGCCATGAAAAGCCGCATAGTAAAGTGCCGTCACTCCGAGAGCCATGCCTTTAAGCTTGCCCCTGGGAGAGGTAAAATAGATTAACATATTGATATCGAATTTGAGCTTGTCGAGGAGATACTTCATCAATATAATTTGTTGGTCATACACGGCGTTCCACCACAACTTCTGCACCGCAGCTTGCTGCTCCCCTCCAGTTGTGTTGGCGACGGTGAACGCATAGTCTGGAATTGGCTTTACCGCCATGGACGACGGTGCATGTATCTCGCTCATGTGCCGGAGGAGGTCAGATTTGCGAAGGAACGTGACATTTTCATCACACGTCAAGTCCTTGTCATTTTCGAAAGGGCTTCGCTCGCCGCCATAGAGCTTGGTATAGGGGCATATGTGAAGTGCATCTTGACCTGGTTTGGCCACGTCGGAATTTCGGGACACGCTTTGTGGCTCAGGCCGTGGTGCGTTTTGGGGTACGACTTGAGGTACGCTTCTTGCAGCCGACCGGGCAGTTTGACCAGGAACAGATGTTTCGCTCGCGACAAGTGTATGATAAGAACTCTCTGCTTCCGATCTGGAAGAAGCTTTGGAGGAAGCAACTAGAGGCGGTGCGGGACTGGCGACTTCCAATTTGACATAAGCATCTGGAAGCTCTGCAGGACTGGCGACACTCGATGCTATTGAGGCTCGCCCGAACCGCCTGGAAGGTTAAAGTTAGTTTGGGATAATGCTGGAGTAGCCCACATGTTCATTAGGAGAGGACTTACTGGGTATCTCCCGGTATCCTTCTTAAGCCAGAGAAGTGTGAAGCGCTATCTTCGCCGTTGATGGGGCGTCGTGCGAGTCCCCCGGGACGATAAGCGGAAGTGTAATTATCGTTGTAGTCAGGGATGTCCGACTGCCTGGAAGTTGTAAGCTTGGATAATTCCAGTAATGCCAGGTTCTTAGTCCGAAGATGACTCACTGATAGCCGCCTGGAAGATAGGTTGAGGGGAAATTGAACTCGGCCTTGTTGTAGAACCACTCATGCTTCATCGCAGTGGAAGGAGTGGGCCGCTTGTCAAATTCCGTCCAAAGTCCGTATAGAAATTTCTGTGCGGTTGTTGAAACCTCCCGTGCCACGAACCATGGAAGATGATCGTTCCGCACTTTCTTCCACTTCCTCTTTGGTATTGGGTCTATCCAACGATGTTCCTCCTCATCCCACATCTTGACAAAGTCCCTGCCGTCGGCTCCGTTATCGCCAAACGGTAGCTTTCTAGTGAGAAGCTCAAACATCGTAACCCCTAGAGACCACATATCGATAGTCAGGAAGTTTTTAGGCTCTTGCAGCTGTGGCGGCCAAAAATCTTGAGATCCTTGGATCTCGGGTGCTCCGTATGCCCAAGTGGTCCTCACTCCACTTGCTACGTCTTGCTTAATCCTGACCGACTTCGAGAAGCCAAAGTCAGCAAGCACGACCGACAATCTCTCGTCGGGCTTATTGGGTTGTGGACAGCTCCGTATAAAGATATTCTTTGAGTGTAGTAGAAGTTAGCAAATAGGGAGCACGGTGATAGGGCATGGATAAAGGCATTAAAGGAGTGCGCAAGGGGATGCATAAGGGAGGATGTACCTTTGGGGCAATGTCGCGATGGGTATATTCCTGCTCATGCATGAATCCAAGCCCTAGAAGCACCTGGAAGATGACTCGCTTGAAATCATTCCCCTTCAACGGCCCATTCTTTTCCAAATAGTGGCGTAAGTCCCCCAGTGGCAGATACTCCATCGCGATGTTGAGGTATTTGCCCTCCGTCCACCAACCTAAGCACTCTATAAAGAGACGCTTTCGATCCTAGCACCAAAAGTTAACATGCGGAATTCCAACGGTGTAATTGGAGAAAACCTAGTTACTGACCTTGTCCGTTCCCCCATTGAACTTAACCATCGCTAGAAGCTCATTTCTGTGCAGAATCTCTTCCTTTTCGTCATACTTGACTGTTTTGACGACACGTTTGACGCCAAGGAGTGTCGGATTTATTGAGATGCATGACTGCACACAAACCTGAACATCCTTACTGTCTTGCAGAGGAGGTTTTTCTATATCCCAGTCTGTTATCTCCTGATTACCACCAGACAGAGGATGATATATGTGGCGTACCAGGGGCAATGCATCCTTGTCGGTGGCGAGCTTTGGATTCTGTGGTCGTTCGGTCTTCAACCACATCGCCGTCACAGTATCACCGGACAGACGTGACGATCCCCCATGATGATGTATACAGGTTTAGGTACCTGAACCGGGAGTTGCGGAATGGCTGGGTTCAGGAAGGGTTCGAATGAAACTAATGAAAAGAGGAAGCGTAGTGGATGGGAAAAAGAGAAAGACGGCTGTGACGCTAATGGTACAACATGGATGTGACTGCGGGAAAGACAGAAATATATCAACAGGCTCCGCAGTGCCCCAAGCACGCATGCATGGATCCAAGCAAAATGAGACTACCAGTCTCCGGCAAAAGCAATTCTTGAGGATGAAGGCCAAATCTAGACCTCATAGTGCCGTCGGCCAGTTGTAGGCTATGCTCTGCAGTGACGGTTCGTTACATGCAGTCGAGGCTTCAACACTTTGGCTGCCTACCTATTAAACATTGACAGGAGGCGAAGCTCGCTATGCAAATCCCCGCGTCCCAGTGTGGACTATTGGTGAATGAAACAATATGAGGCCCAACGTGCTTAGCCAAGTAATATCGGGATGGCGAGCAGCATGAGTGCCATGAATCCAGAACAGTGACAGCCAAGATGTACACTGTGACCATCTGAAGCTTTGCGGGTGGGAAGACATGAACTGGCGACACTGGTACAAATGATTGCAGCCTGTGAGGTGTGATCGACATGTATCTTGCCGAAAGGAATGAAGAAGTGTACAGCCACCGAGTCAATCGGTTAGAAATTGATACTGTGTGTACTGCAATGTTCGGGTGCGTCCGTATAACTCTGATTGCAACGCATGGGAGGGGAAAGGAGGCCTGCGAGAATGGAATAACGAAGTGCCGCAAATAGAATCTCTAGCCAGATGGCAACATCAGACATCGGAGTTGGTGACATATAGAAACAGCATTTGGGCCCTCTGTGGGGGTGAGGATGAGAGTAGTGACGAGATAGCAACCTCGAATTCTTCTTCATCAAAGCATCTCCAAACTTTCGGAGGCTTGAACGTCTCTTATTCGACTTATAACCATTCTCCTACTTGTGATAGCATCTACACGTGGACGACAAGGACTTGATTTCCGCTTCCACAGAGCGAGCATCCACTGGTTGCAATGGCCGACCCTGTTTCGTTGGCAACAACCGGTGCAAGCGGTTTGGTATCCCTCGCCAAGTAAGCACACCCACAAGAACCCCCAGGAAAACATAAATGTATGCTTAGGAAAGAGGACCGGGGATTGACATTCTCGAAACAAGGTTGTATTTTAAGTTCCAGGAACTGCGCGAGGATTACAAGACAGCCGCTCTCCAGGTTCAGAGCCTGAACAACTCGTTCGAAACACGATGTGCTCATGTGCTCATGTGCTCATGAAGCAGGCTGAGTTCGACGGGCGTATTGAGCCGTTACTCGGACTCGGTGGAGTGCCCCGACATGTCGTTGAGCTACGAAACAGGATTCTAGAGGAGCTAGATCACAAGATCTTGATGGCACGTACAGCCATTTCCAAGTTCGACAGGGCGAGAAGGCTTAACCCGGCCCAAAAGGTACAATTTTCCTTACTTGAGAAGAAGGATGTTGACAAAGCAATAAAGGCGGTCGAGCCACGGTAGAAACATTCGCCATGAACCAAAAGACGATACTGGGTTATTTGCGAATTAACGATATAGAAATCGACAAGGAACTGGACAGACGAACACTGAGCGCAGAGAGAGGTTTCCGTGAGGCCAAAAGAGTTGACAAGTATACGAGCAAAAGACCCATCATACTAGAGTCCAGGGATCTCAAGGCTTATGAGGCCCAGGAAATTCCGTTCTCTTGCGGTGCCAAACGGGCTTATCACCCTCAAGACCCGAAGAGCCTCTGCATCATCGACTCCGACGACAACATCCCGGCCGACGGTGTCGTGCTTGAAGATGCGATGGCCCTGGCCTTGAAGCTTCACAATGCTAGTCCTGAAGAGTTTGGCCTGCTTCCCTGTCGGGGATTGACAAAGCACCCCAGGGCTCCCACGCAGCCAAGACGCGACATCACCATGGTCTTCAGGTTCCCCCAGCAATACAGTACGGTAAACAGCCTGCGACGGCTTCTTCTTGAAACTCAAGGTGGCCTTGCGCAAACACCACAGGGTCGTATTGACCGTCTGGCCATGGCCAAGCACCTTGTCAAGGCCGTTTTTTCGGTGCACTTGTACGACTTCGTCCACAAGAACATCCGTCCCGAAACTTTGATGTGCTTTGGCACTGCCGCCGAGGAACAGAACGGACGTCTGCCGCAAAATGCCTTCCTTATTGGCTTCGAAGTCATGCGAATTGCGCGAGGACATTCTGACAAGGCCCAGACCCGGTCTGCCCAGGAGGCGGCCAATCTGTATCAGCACCCTGAACGGCTTCGGTCAGATCTTGACGACTCCGAGCTATACGTCATGCAGCATGACGTTTATAGCCTCGGTGTGTGTCTTCTCGAGATTGGCCTGTGGAGGAGCTTTGTCACGTACGATGATCGTGGCGCGAAGGTTGGACGGGGCTTGCGTCTTCCGGATGGCAGGATGCCGTCGGCGGATGCGATCAAGAACCACCTTGTGAATCTTTCTGGGCCAGAGTTGGTTGGGGAGATGGGTGTCGAATACAGCGAGGTAGTTCGCCGGTGCCTAACCTGCTTGGATGGGGGAAAGGGATGGATCACAGAGAGTGACTTCCTGTCGAATCCCTACGCTGGCGGGGTTACGGTTCGTTCTTCTTATACCAGAGATGTTCTTTCAAGGATCAACAATATTGTGGACATGGACGTGTAAAGGCCGAGACGGCTCAACAGGCGCTATGAGGAGTTCCACTTGGCAAGGGGAGTGTGTAGCAAGAAATACGAGCATGTATGGTTTGTTGCAAATAACATAAGGAAAATGAAAAGATAGTCACCATGGTCAGCTCATAATCATGTGCAATGATACAAGCATCCGATGGTTGGTATAAAGGACGAGGGTCGGAGTGCGTTGTTGTTGTTGTTGTTCGATTCGATAGAGGTGGTGGTGGGAAAGAGGCAGAGAGGTTGATGTTGAAGTCAAATGCAAAATCCATCATTTCGCAGATTTTCGGCAAACGTCAAAAGCTGCGCCCGGTCAAAAGCTGACGTAAGGTCTTGACAGTTGTTCACGGCTGTCAGTAAATGAATGCCGACATCCGCGGGTGTAAATGCAAGCGGAAAGTACCTACGTTCTTGATCGGGTGTGCATACCACAAATTTCGGAAGGAGCTATGGGAGCCACGAGCGACATAGAATAACTTCCAGGTTCCCCTTAAAGAAAGAGTGCACTGATGACTCCAGCCGCGGCTTAAGACCGGTTTCAGCCTGCCGTATTGAAGATTGTCTGTATGTACTATGACTATGAGGGTTTCCGTACAAGAGCCTTGCTCCCATCGTCTAACCGCCTCGGGGAACATCGATGTAAATCTGAATTTGGATCCTTGCTATCTCAGCGCCACCCCCTTCCGGCCTCCCTTCTACCCCAGAACTCAGCCCTTAGATCCTGAGGAACCGTAACACCCTCAAAAAGTCCCGTAAGCTTCCCCATATGATTACTCTGAGCATTTGCCCAAACACTCCGATGAGCACTCGCCTAGGAGTAACCGCATCAGACTTTGCCGGTACTGAGTATTCCCACCAACGCCCGGTGATTTGGAGCAAGCGCTGCCTGCGCCGAATCCCAATCTGTATGCAATCGAGGGCAAGACTAAAGCGAACCCATCAGCCGCGTGTGGGAACGGAGACGTCGGTTTCCAAGTCCAAGTCCTCCTTTCCCCCCCTCCTCGTCTTTCCACTGTCTCTTCTCTTGGTATCGCTGCTCTTGCCATCCGGACCGTCGGCCAGCTTCTGGTCTTCTCCGGGCTGTGGCTGGTCGGCCTCGCACTTGTTATCAGCCTCGGAGTTGGCCTTCCCATCCTTTTTGTCACCCTTTCCTGGCTGCGGCTCGGGCTGGTCATCCTACACCAACCTTGAAGGCTGGAGGGCGGGCTTCGAGGCCTTTCGTGGTTTGGATCTCGGGCTCGGGCCCTCGCAGGCATGGGTTTTGAGGGCCCGGGGCTTCGCGTGTAAGCAGGCTGGGACTTGGCGTCCTTCATGGGCTTCGGATCCCGCGAGGCTACTGTTTCTCGTAGGTTAACGGGCCTGCTACTAAAATGGGGAATCAGGGGATAGTCAACTCGGTTGCTGGCTCGCTGGACGAGGAACCGCATGGATCGGCTTGGGGGTAATCTTTGGGCGATACCGGTAGGTGTTAACCCGCCGGTAACACCCCAGCCATCCATCCAACAACATGTTCCTCTTCGGGTTCATGGGTGCGGTTCTTATCGGGCTCCCACCTCCATGTGTCCTGCTCTGGTCATCTTGTCGCTGCTGATGGCGTCGTTAATGGGGTGGGTGCTGCGCTTGCTCGGGCACCTTGATGGCCTCCATATCCAATGCTGCTACGAGCAAGGCAGGCGCCGTCACCAGAGAGGACACGCCAAGCGCCCTGCAATTCGCACTTTCGACAGCTTGAGTGATGGGGAGAAGCTGCAAACAACGCCGAAGAGGAAGGAGTGACGTTGGGGGTTGTCAGGGTTAGGGTCAGTATCAGATATGAGTGTTGTTGAAGCCTCTAAGACTCAGCGGGTAGTTCGGGAGGCAGAACATCCGGATCTTGTGTGATTGGAGACACGGGAGAAAACTGGATCTCTAGAAGGCTTCAGAGACTGTGATTCGTGAAATTCCGTCAACTTCGCAGTGTACTGCCGGAGTGGTCTCGTGAAGCTCCGGGTGCTGCGTATCTGCAGGGTTGCGGAATGCGGGGTCTGGATCACGGCGGTCGCATTGGAGACGGACGGTGGATGCTTGTGCTGCAGTGTATGACTTGGACAGCGACTTCCCATTTGCATTCAACTCTATCGATTGCATTTCATAAGGTATCCTCATCGTTCGCATGAATCGTTAGACGTATCGCGGGCGACAGTATCGGGCCAACAATGGTCGTCGACGATTCTCTTGGTGCTGCGAAGCCGTTGTTGTGCGACATGTTGTCGTCTGCGACTTATACGCCGCTCGCCGGACGTCGCATTGCATGGTTGCCGCCTGTAGCGACCGTTGCGCACGGCCCACTCCGATGGAAGTTGTAGCATCCGATGTTTCGACTTCCGACGACTGATGATTCTGCGAACACTATGAAACGAACACCATCAGTTTTAAAGAAAAATCCAAGAGATCAGATGAACCGTTTGCTTCCTGCACTCCACCAATATTTCCAGGTTATGTCAAGTTCTGGGTTCCTTGTCCATATTGTTGCGGGAAATGTCAAAGTCAAAATCGCCTTCGGTGTGGTACGATTCAGTTAAAGATGGGTTCCCGGAGATCCAGATCTCTGACACATTTTCGGGTCGTCTGCCTGCACTTTGCTTGGCCTTGGCTGGACCGACCCCGCTCGGCCATCCGACGACGACCGATGACCAACGGTCCAACTTTCCATCACCTCAGCTTACCACTTCGGCCCGGAAAACCATCACATATTCACATATCTCCTTCCCACACGGGCAGGACGGGATACGGCTTACGGGATCGTCACTCTTGGCGTCCCCCGAGCACAATGCCACAATCTGTTCGTGACCTCTGCTACGCAGGTATTTCCCCATCTTTTGCTTTCATGTGCAGTCATCAGTCTCACCCTATCCAACGGGATCCATGCATAGCTCTTGTGTAGCGGAGCTTCTCACGGCGAACGGAGTTACTTTACGTGATGTCCTGCAACTGACTGACGACTTGACTGACGATATGATTGGTGAGCTTTGCATCGCAATCGTCAGTCAAATCGGTCAGCCAGACGTGATTGATAGTCCCGCATCGTCCACATCGTCCAGCGCCACCGCCGTCGCCATCGCCATCGCATCGCCGGCGCACATCGCACTTCGCTCGACTGGCTCCAACTGACGGTCAACCGGTCAGACGAGCTAACAATGAGGTTTATCACGACTAAAAACAATAACTAACCTCATGAGGTAGTCCGGATGCGTAGCTCGGGGGGGTCATTCTTCATCAAGCAACAAGCTTGTCGTTGACAATCCCCCTTCCCACGTCCAGACGGTGTGAAAGTCAATGATGGATGCACGTGGATAACACCGGCGCCGCGCCGGAGCAAATGCAACCAACCAAGACGTTGCCCGCTGGGTGATGCTGGCTTGCTCGTGCTGCTGCTGGCCTGCTTGCTGCGGCGACATGGACGCCGTCGTCGCCGACTCGCCGTAGCTCCGTCGTAGCTCGACGGTAGCGTAGACGCGAGGTGAGTTCACACCTTCATGAACGTGATCACGCGGCCCATTCGAGCACCAGAAATGATCCAATCCTTTTGATTATTGCAACGACATGCAAGATGCAATGCAGTGCGTTGGTCTGCTTCCTTTGCTTGTTGAATTGAACCCTTTGCACTTTCACTCCTTCGGGTGGATCTCCCGTGTCAGTCACTGGGAGAGATGCGTCTCGGATGGTGATAAGCCGCCGCACGATGTGTTCCGCACGATCACGATCATGGTTGTTTGCACGGCGATATGGAGGAGGAGGACCCCTCTTTTTTCTTCAACGCTACAGTCCACATCACAGCACAACTTCCTTGGTTTTTGAGTGGTTCATGTCTCTCTTTGACAACAGGGTCCTCCTCGATCCTCGCTCGCTCCCGGCCCTCACTCCTCAGCCGGCGGCGTGTCGGCTCCGGTGATTCGGTGAACCTTGAAGGTCTTCTTCACCTCTGCCATCCGGAGCTTATCTTTTAAGGAGGTCGCTCTCTAGGGGGCCGGCCGATCCCTGTCCCACCGTCCACATCCCGGGTCCCAAGGGTCTCCGCTTGGAGAAAGATGTTAGTGCGAAATAGGAAAGACTTCAAGAGCCCCCCCGAATGAAGAAGGCAAGAAAAAGATAAGAGCGACAATTCCTACGCCGACTAAAAAGAAAAAAGTTCATGAGGGATGGAGGGGCATTTGTTTACATGGAAGCAGAATTAGGCAATGCCGATGATGCCTGTGCCCTGTAACAATCTTCGGATCTCAAGGGTCCTGCGAGGGTGCAGCGACCCCCCAGCCGACTGAATGACAAGGGAAGCTCGCAGCTCGGTGCAGCTCGCATCTCGCAGGCGGCGGTAGGAAAGCTCGCAGGACGACAAGGAGGAAGGAGCGACCGCAAGCGCAAAAGTCCAGACTCGTGGTCAGGGATGGCTCGACTTTCAAGGTTTCCCACTTCCCCGCATTTGTCTTAGTGGCTCAAGTGGTTTTGTGAACCTTCATGGGCTCAGAACTCCAGCGAACCTTTTTGAGCAAGAGGTCGACGCAAAAGGTGAATGCTGAGGAGGGGAGGTCAGGAAGTATTTTGATGATGGACGACGACAATGCGTCCCGGACAATGCTATAGCACCCATGTCATGACATAACTTTTTAGGATCAAAGGGTTGGCGGTTGACCAGCCACATTATGGAGAAACCTTTTTTTCCTTTTGATGTCTAGGAACTTTTTTTTTGTTTACTCCATTCATCGTTTGATGTCTTTTTCGCGCGGCTGGTGGCTCCGTTCGGGCGGGATCCATTTGGTGTTGTGTAAGTGGTTTTGATGTGCTCCATGGATCGGTCGATGAAGATGGATCCTCGATGTTTCGGTGTCGTTTGATACCGATACCAGCTGAAGTGGTACCCTGAAGTGCTCCATCGTTCAAGCCCGCCGTCCAAGCCTCCAAGCCATCAGGGTACCAGGATGTTCTGTTCAAACCTCTCAAAACTCCTGTTCGTCATGG